CCGGTTAACGTCTAAGTGAACCTGCTTGCGACCAAGGCCCAGGGTGCCGATCTCCCACACCTCAGAAGCGAACAGTCGGCTTTGGGTGTCGAACTCCCTTGGCTCCTCGTCCCTTACCTCAATCTTCATAGTGCCACACAGGCGTGCACTTTGCTCGTGAATGACCAACTTCCTCAAATCTTTCCCCAGGTCGCACCACAACGACACCTAGGCACCCTGGCTTACGAGGCCCCTAACCATGCTTTCGGCACCACCTCCCATGGCTGACAGGCAATGGGGTCTGACAAGGACTTTAGGTGTCCCTTAGCTCAATCTTCGTAGTGCCACGCAGGCGTGCACTTCGCGAATGACCAAATCCCTCGAATCTTCCCCCACATGGCATGACAACGACACCAAGACGTCCTGGCTTACGAGGCCCCAAACCATGCTTGCGGCACCACCTCCCATGGGTGACAGGCAATGGGATCTGACAAGCCTGCTGAGAGAGTGCCGTACCCATGTGACACTCCACTTGCGGTCTCCATCATGGAGAGATGAAACCTAGTGATGCGGTGTGGGTCACGTGAAAGTGGAGATCAATGTCAGTGTGGAGTGACCTGCATCCATAACACCGGGGACATAGTGCGGAAGCAACACATGCACCGAACTAGCTGATGAGTGTCATGAGCTTGACCTTCCAAAAGAGCTTTGGACTCGAGTTATCAATGTTCCACCAAAGAACAACCAGCCTTCAAACACAGTCCCTTAGTCATTTCAGGGAAAGGGCATGTCACTAAAAGTTACCTCGTAGCATATAGACCAATATACAACACTGACCCAAGTCACCCAACATAGAACTATCGTTCATCACCGGCGATGGTAGTGACAAGTCATATCTTGTCTCATGGTGCGTGCAACGTGCAATCGGTCATTGATCAATGGGATAGATCTGTGATAGATCTGTGACCTCCATGCTATTCAGGTTTGACGACACACATAATGATGCATACCTGCAGGAAGGAACATGCACACAAAAACAAACAGTCACACAATCAGGCACAACCAAGAGTCGCTCCCCAGTTCCATGCATGCATAAGGAAGTGAAGAGACGAGTGTGCTGCTGATCTGTCAAAAGACAGAATCCAATCAAAATAGCAATCATCTACAACCGCCGAGCTGCATGCATGATCCTTCCCAACTCTGCAATTTACCGACCCCACTTTGTCGATGTCCCCCACCCGTTTGCTTTTCGTTGCGAACTCACTGTGACCGACTCGCCGGATTTTCATTCACTATCTTCGTTCGCACAGACAAACATTTCCGAAGAAGACATGCATCGACTAACCAGAATCGCACAGTGACGAGTGTTTTGCGAATACAAGACGCCTCCGGCACTTCCAGTCATAAATTTGCTCGCTCTAACTTGTCGAGCACTCACTTGCAAGCATGTGCCGCTGCAACTGATTGATTCCTCAAACCCCAACCGCAGAGCAGAGCCTTCCTCTTTGGCCCTCGACTACCTACCTAGTTTGACCCCTACCCACACTGACCCCTCAAATCATGGTGGACCCTGGGCCAGCTGGAAGACCAGCGCGAGGTCTCAACAATCCCCTAGGACCACCGCACTGCTTAGTTGAGTTTGTCCCAACTGCATACCTAAGCTGGAGTGTGGCCTACCTCGGAAGATAACCTTTCCCATCAACACAAAAATGGACCTTGGTGCGTCCTCGGTCGAAACCTCACTGTTTCGTCGGATTGCACTGCAGGACTGCAAAGAGGACCTTGGACCAGCTACCAGGCTGACATCAGGTCTCAACGGTCCAAGCGGACCAGCTCGTGGCCTTCACTAACGTCCCCTTGTGGGTGCACGAGTACTCTGCAGGCTCTCCGACACAACGGCCTACCCTCTTCATGCTCTGGTACATGGTCGACACGTACTGTATACACGGACACTCACGCACCGACCTCACCTGTTCACCCAACTTCGCCGTCACGCCCCACTGTGCGGTGACTGGGCTTTGCATTGACTGCTAAGAAAAAGCTAAGCTATGCAACAACGCTACCGTCTTCACCCGAATAGAACACCCGGTCATTATAGCTGTATTTGATGCGACTTTAAGTCCAGATACGGCCATAATTACCGGGCGTTCTATTCGGGTGAAGACGCTAGGCCGTAAGAGTCCCTAGGACTACCCCACATTGTCACTGGCCTGAACGGACTTTGCCTAGTAGCTCACTCGCTGGCAAGCTTATCGTACTTGTGCACATGGCTGCGAAGAGAGCAAAGCACTCGTTATTTACAGTCTGCATGGCAGAGCTTGCTGCAGCTGAGGCTGGGGCAGGGCTGCTCTTACCAAGGCTCTGCTTCCACATTAACAGCATGAGTACCTGGCCCTCCCTTGCTCGCTGCTTTGCATCTGCCATCGGATCGTATGATAAGAAGACACACTTTGCTGCCCCTATAGCCAGTACCTGAGGCTTCTAGCGCCTCCCCACAGATTCTCGTACTTGGCCACTCCCTATGCACTTTGTACTTGGTGCCAGATCTGTGGAAGTTGGTTGGCTTCCATGCCTTTCAAGTTCTGGACTGTTCCGAGGCCTTCTAGGCCTTGCTCTCCTTCCGGGGAATTATCATGGCCGCTTGATCGCAAGATCGAGCGGTCGTTATTCACTCTGTCCCCCCTTCTCGATGGCCCCAGACCCTTCCGGCCTTTCCTCACCAGGTAGGGCCGGGTGGACTTGGCCCAGCTTTCTGGACAGGCCGGGTGGACTTGGCCCAGCTTTTTGGACAGGTCCATCCAGTACCGACCGGGGGAATATTTGGGCCTCCTAACCCCGCCACAGTGTACCATGCGATTTTTTGATCGGGTGACTTTACAATCCCTCCGCGCACTTCTAGAACATGAGGCCCTTTGGGTCTGGAACAAAAGGTAAGACCGACCCGGAGTTCGTGGCCACATTCTTGGCTTTGGTAGGTACGCCAGGTGCTAACAGTTTCGACAAGGCCCTCCCGATGTTATGGTGTCAAAATATCTTCGCTGCCCTATCCGCTCATCGGGGATCGCAAATCACTTCCACCAACCCTCTAGAAACTGCAGGCGCGGACTTGACCGTTAGATTCTACATCATATCCAATCTGTTATGCCCTACCATATCCAATCTGTTAGACCCTGTACGGGTGTGGAGCACCCCGTGTGAGGAGGTGCAGGGTTGCGGCGGTGGGGCCTTGTGGGTCTGTAGATGGGGGGGCACACTATTTTGTTTTTGTTTTTGTTTTTGTTTCTCCCCCCAGAACTCCAAATCCACTCCCTCACGGTTCCACATGTTTTAACTTTTAGGCCATGGGTAATATGCGGATCCATTTTCGGTTTTGGACCCCTGCTGTCTCTGCACCCATCCCGGGTCGGGGAAGGCATCGTCCCCACGTGGGGATGTGGGGACAGAGACCCTGACCATGCCTTGTTGAAGCCCTGTGGAAGACCCACTTGACAACCCTGGGCCTTGCCCTGTTGAAACATCCAGGAGGCACACACGGCTCCTATTGAAGCCCCACTGGGACTAAGTTAGAGATGGAACTTGATAACCCTGTTGGGGGGCCACTATTTTGTTTTTGGAGGACAAAAAACAAAATAAGTGCCCCCCCCCCTTTCCCCCCCTTTGGACGGGTTTGGAGTTTTTTGGGGGGGGACAAAAACTTGACAACCCTGTTGGCCCTTTGGGAGTGAGTTAGAGATGGAACGCCGATGAAGAGCTGTATGATGGGAAATTGTCACGCACGGCTCGGAGGCTCACCTCTCAAGAGGTGCTACTCTCTCTTCTCCCCTCCACCAGTACTCTAGGATTGCAATGGCACTCTACTGCTCTAGTACATGAGGCAGGCCCATGGCTATGCTGCCTTTTGGCTGTTCGGCTTTTTGGCTTTGTGGCGGTTCCTCTGTTTGGCTTTTTGGCTGTTTTTGGTTTCTGGGCCTTGTTCAGGGTGGTCCTAGCCTGTGTCCTTTTTTAAGCCTGGGTGGAAGTTTAGCCCTACACTCCTCCCCCTTACCGCCATTTTGCCCTCATTTGGACACCCTCTGGCCCACTTAATAACTTTGTGATGTCTTTGTGTTTTGCATTGCCGCTCAAGCATACCTCTGGCTTGCACGTCTGCAAAACGTTGCTGCGGTCTTACGAATATAGCCGGCATTGTTTTGAGTTTCGCTTTTTTGTTTCCAAGTGTTGTTTGATTTTCACTCGACTTTTTACCCATCTCACCAGCGGTAAAGTAAATCTCGTAATTGAATGACGGTGAACAGGACAGTGAATGAGATGGCGCACATTGACAGAGAATGATGATGGTCCGTAATTGAATGACGGTGAACGGGACAGTGAATGTTACGGAAGTGGCGGCAGCAGGTGCCGTGACCAAAGAAGGTTTGTTGGAAAAGTCAAAGAAGCCTCAGTGCCTGAAAAGTCAAACCTGTCTGAGAAGTCAAACCTGCCCTGTTTCAACTTGCAGGCCAGGTACGAAGCTAAACATGTGGTAAATTTACTTCTGTACCTGGCCTGAAAGTTGCACTAAATGCTGGCTGTAGGGGCCGGATGTTGTGTTAGGGCGGTGGAGAGAATAAAGTAGTGAATGTAAAGAGACTGGCTGCTGTCAACTGTGGAGACTGGCTGCTGTCAACTGTGGCACTTCATCTTTGTCCATTTCTGTTGGAGTCAACACATATGCAGGAGCTTTGTCATGTAGAGGAGAGTGCAATGTGCTTTTGAAATGAAGACAGGGTTGTATTGTAGTGTTCATAATAAATTTAATATTTATCGTTGATGTAGGTTTTTGCTTCCAAGGTCCATTTTGATTTACATCCGCTCGGTGTGATCTCCTTTCTAAGTGTATAGTTAATTCAAAGTTTGTATTTTTTTTAAAAATTATTTTGTCGATTTTTTGATCTCCTTTCTCAGTGTATGGTTAATTCAAATTTTGTATTTAAAAAAAAATAAATTATATTTTGTCGATTTTATGACGTTGACCGTTGCAGAATTGGCGGTAACAGCAGATACCCCCATTGCGGCCGTTGCACCGAAGGATGCAGTGCCCGGCGATTTACCCATGCCCTTCACTTGCAAGACAACGACGTCCTGCAAAATTATGATGAATGCATCAAATGTGAAATCCTATAATGGAAAGGACCGAGACAAGATCATCGTGGACATCGCCGGCCAAGGACCTTGCTACTGGTCCATCTCCCGTTTCAATCGGGGTGACTTATCGCCACGGTTGAGCCCCAGGTATGTCAGTCGCCGATCTCTGACACTCTGCAGATATCATGATGATAGTTTACTGGTGCAGTCATATGTGGATATGTACTGTTTAGTTACCATTCAGCCACCAAGCAAGGGAGTTCTTTCTTTTATTTAAAAAAAAAAAATGTAAACTATGCTATATTCTTCTCTCAAATTCCCTTTTGCCTTTCGCTACCTACCTACCACTACTCCTAAGGATAAGCGCTCTGATATTTATGTGATGATATATACTCCGGCGTTGCTAGCTCTCTGCTTTTGCTGATGATGCGGCGAGCATCGGGCCTGTACTAGCAGGCTTTGTCTTTTCTTATGGAAGAGAATATTTTTTAACGTCTTTTCTTTAATCTTCCCTATTGATTGGGGTGTTGCGTTTTGCGGGCCTACTGAATGGTTCCGTTTTTTTACTATGGATATGGTAGAATGTTTGTTTTGTGAATCTTGTCTGCTTCGCTTCTGTTATTGGGCATCCTGGTTGATTGTTTCCCGTTGTTCGGCCTTTTGAGCGCGGGGCGGTGCTAGTATGTGGGAATCGTCATCCGGGGTTCTCTTCTTTTTGGTTGTCACACTGGGATCGGAGCCTTTCTTTTTTCTTTCTTTGCAGACAAGAATGTTTTGATATCCTGGTTGGTCTTGTCCCGTCGTTTGGCCTGTGAGTTGGGGCGGTGCTTGCATGTGGGACTTGTCATCTGGGATTTGTTTTGTTGCCCCCTGTTCTGTATTATTTGGCTGTTCCTTTCCTCTTTTCTTTGCCTCTTTGCCTTCTGGCTGTGTGCAAGTGGGTCGATATGACACACGGGGTTGGGGGCAGCCGCCGCTCAACCTACATCCACGTGGGTGGCCTTGTACGCAAGAGGTTCTGAACAGGGGGGGTTGTAAAGAAGAAGATAAGAAGTGAATTTGTTTTCCTTTTTTTCGCTTTTGCGCTCTGATATTTATGTGATGATATATATATGTCCTCTTCTCTCTCTCTGCCTACGGTTTACCGGGCAGTTCTGTTTGTGACGATATATAGATATACCGATATCTCTGCCTACGGTTTACCGGGCAGTTCTATTTGACGATATATATGTATATATAGAGGCGACTCCCTCAAGCATAGCTACCTCAAAATGAAGGGATTGCATGTTTGTCCCCCGCCCCAACAGCGGTAGTCAGAGATGGGGTGGGGGCGCCGGTGGGGGTCCTGCTAACGCAAAGACCGAGCATTTTGTGTGTGGTGTGTGGGAGAGTGTTGGCCTTTGACACTAATGCTATTTGATTGGGGGTGGGGGATGATGAGAAGCAAGGGAGTTTTTGTCTGGTTCAATATTCTGTGCTTTTTTATATGATTTTTGCAAACAATGTTTTTGCTAGGTTACCAGGGGCACTTCGCTGTGCATCCACGGAGCCTGCACAGCACCCCCCCCCCCCCCCCCCGGAGGGGTACCCTGGGCAGGGAAAAAATAAAAATTCTGGATGGAGGGGCGTTGCTGCGCCCACCAAGATCTGCCTGAATCTGGGCTCGTTTTGTCTTTGGCTGTATGTGAAATGGTTGTGGGTGAGAGGGGGATGATAGAAGAGGGAGGTACATGGAGAGATGGCACGAGGAAGGAGAGAGGCAAATGGTGGGAGAGAGATAGAGCGATGGAGGAGAGAGGTCGATGGCGTGAGAGGGGGGGTGAGTTGGCATGAGGGGCAGGGAGGTAGATAGCATGAGGGAGGAGGGAGATGGTGCGGGGGAGGGGAGAGGTATATGGCGCGAGGGAGGAGGGAGTAGGGAGATGGCAAATGGGAGGAGGGAGAAGGATGGCATGAGGGAGGAGAGACAGATGAACGAAGTGAAGAGGGAGATGGTGTGAGGGAAGAGGGCAGCGGGAGGAGGGATGGATGGGGGGGGGAGAGAGATGGCACAAGGGAGGCCAGAGTCAGTCAAAGGAGTTCTAGTGTAAGTATGCCCCAAGTTTGTTTTTCCCAGGGAAAAGGGAAGGAGGAGTCAATTTGTGCAGGTGGTGCATGGACATAGTTAAATTAGCATTGTACTATAGTAGTTAAGACTCGAACTCAGTCAATCCTCTTGTATGGTTGAAGTTAACTGGACATAATTAACCTAACATAGTACTATATAAATTAGCATTGTACTATAGTAGTTAAGACTCGAACTCAGTCAATCCTCTTGTATGGTTGAAGTTAACTGGACATAATTAACCTAACATAGTACTATAGTAGTTAAGGCTCAAACTCAGTCAATCATCCTCTTGTATGCCTGAAGTTAACTAAATTAGTTAACCAAGTGTTTACGGGCGATGCATGCAGGCATCCATTTGCACAGCCAAACCTCGGAGTGCTGCCAACCGGAGACAATGGTTTCGAGACTAGCGATCCCAAGCATTTTTCAGTACAGGTAGTGCTCTCCCTGCCCCCTTCTCCCCC